TTGTGAGGTTTATGGTTTATATATAGTCATCAATATAAAGTATTGGTTAGTAGACATTCACTACAGTATTAGACTATATATGGTAGTAACTAAATGGGGAGGCCTTATCTGAATATAGTGGGCCTGGTCCACCAGTTATGAACAAGGATGATTACATCAAATAATCCTCGTGGTTGAGGCTGGCATCAACATTTGTACTGGTGTACTAGGTAACCTGTGTTAATTCTTCTTCCTCTTCAATTACACCTGTCAAGGGCACTCACAATAATGGCAGTAATCCTAACAGCTATACTTTACACTTTACTGCTGTGGCAGTAAACCCACAGCTATATCAGAGGAATATTGTTCAATTTAAAGCAAGATATGAGAATATTGCCCACCTGTTGTTTGTTCCAGCTATGCATTCTGACTAGTTCACCCTATAGCTACTTAATATTATTGTTTAATTATTTATTTATATACAAGAAGGTACATTGGGTTTGTGAGGATAAATAGCATGGTATTTACATTCTTGTAAAGTCAGTAGTACGCGCAGCGTTTCGGGCAGGTCCTTAATCTAACAGATAATTTTAAGTAGGTAAATTCTAGCATAATTTATAAAGTGATAACAGGTACATTGCAAGAAAAAAATGAAATGAGAGAGATTAGTAAGTATATTAAAGCACATTGGTAGCTCTAATTGATTGCATTGACACATGTCCTGACTATATATGTCCATGACATGTCCTGACATTGATCAGGAATGAAAGATAATAAATGGGTTTCGATAGACCACTTCCCTTACAGTAGACGTAGACCATGTTAATAATGGAAGAACTGTACTCCCATAACACTGTTGTCCAAGGGAAATTATTGGAGCTAGATTTGCCCCAGCGAGATTGGTATGATTTTAATGGCGACTGCCTGCTGGCCCTCTCCCAAGGACGCCTTGGCTGTTCTGTCTAGATGTCAAGAAGTGGTTAGAGGGTCTACATTTACTTGATTTTTCTACAGATAATTAAGCTGATTCAAGAGAAATGTTTACAGTCCAGAGATTGATATATTAAGGATAATTCCCAACAGAATTAGCAGGTGAATTTAATAGCGACATGTGGCAATGATATCTCCGTTTTCTACCAGAGGAAAATTCCACTGTGCCACGTCTTCTATAAATGAATTTGTTTATTACATAACAACAGCAATATTATCTGCTTATTGTAATAAATGTTAGTAAATGGTGTCGGTTTTTCCGACTAGTAACAAAAGGAGTACCTCAAGGATCGGTACTGGGACTCGTACTATTTCTCATGTATGTAAATGACCTATCTACAGGAGTTCTATTTTATATGTGGATGTTTGCAGACAATGCAAAATTATGAGAAGAGTTGTGAAAGATGAGAATTGTAAGATTCTCCAAGATGACTTAAATAAACTGCAGAGTTGGTCAAAGAAATGAACTCTGGAATTCAACGCCATCTAGTATAACGTGATGAAATGGTATCAGAAGCTATGAGACCGGAAGGCCAGTACATGTTGAAGGGGAAACATCCTCATTGTACTCACTAGAGAAAGATACCTGGGAGTGGGCATAACACCAACCCTAACTCAAGAGGCTCATATAAATAATAATTCATTGTGTCGGGAGAAAGGCAGCCAGAGTATATATACATTCTTGGCTCATCTCCAGGAACCCCCTGTTACGGACCCGAGTCCAGCGTCGGAGCACGGAGCAGTGACGACAACGCCATCTGTGAGTCCGCTCTCGAAACCCACTCCAAATGGACGACGCCATCTAGTGGTGACAGGATAAGCCGGCAACAGGTGCTGGATTCCTGTCCTAGTCAGTTCATGACGTAGCCGCTGCTGACCTCTGGTGAGGTGGCACTTAGACAGTGAACGCCATCTATGGAGCAGAGAGGTGGACGTTTGTGTCTAAGCCTGTAAGTGAGGTGCCCTAGAGCGTCCCGGTATTAATGACGTATCTGATTGCAGAGTCGACCTGGGATTGTTGTGTTGGACGATGAGGCAGTCTACCCAAGGCAGCCAAGGTCTCTTCACCAGTCTGCTGAAGAAGCTGTGAGTCACCCCCGGACGAACTCTGTTGAGAGTGTAATAGCCTGCCTGAGGCGTGGCAGTGTCGGGAATCGCCTTATCCGGGGCTGGCTGGTGGAAGAGACTAGCCACTGTGGTGCTTAGTGAGGAGAGTGATCAGCGGGTCACACGAGGCTCCTGCCTAGGGCTCGCAACCCTAGCATCGGTCGTGGAGTGGCCTACACAGCGGAGCTGATCGGTACCTGCCAGCTACAGGCTGGATTGTGGTTGAAGGCCCCCACGACGAAGCACCCAGTGGGACGGGGATTTGGCTGGCCTGTGGCCAGGGTAGATTCATCATAGAATCATAGTGGATTCATCGTGGGCCACGGAAGAAGGAACCAGGGCTACCCTGAGTGAGCACCGTCGAGCATCCAGTGTCTTCGGAGGAAGACGAACCTGTACATAATAGTGTAGTTATAATCCCTGCGTGTGACTGGTATTTATTTATACATGGTGGTGGAGAAATATATATATATAAATTGGAACATTTGTATCCCTCCCCCTTTAATTTAACTTGCGTTACGGAACACACCCCTTGAAAGCCTCTACTAACTTGGGGCCGGATTCCCAAACTCTACTACCATCAGAGAAGAACCCGGTTGCACCCCAGTAGGGCCATAACATGCCCTTCAAGGTCAAACTACTGACCCTCCCCTGGATGTAACCCATCAACAAGCTGACTAACTCCTGGGTACCTATTTAATACAAGATGAACAGGGGGGGGGGGAATTAGGTGACAGCAAACGTGCCTAACCATTTCTGTCGCTCCCGGGATTCGAACCCGAGCCTGACTCTACTATCGGGACCTTCTCTGTAGCTGCATTATCTTCATTAGCAGAAGTAAGAACATCCTGTAAGGACCTAATAGAGAGGCTGCTAGATCCCTATACCGCCTATGGGAGACCAGTTTCAGAGTATGAGGCCCTTATCATGGAACCAACATCTTACAAAAACAGAAGGAAGCTCGAAAAGGTTCAGAAGATTGATATGAGGCTCGTACCAGAAGTGTATAGGATAAGGCATGAAAAGAGACTGAAGGAACTAAACCTGATGATGCTAGGAAAGAGAAGAGTGGGAGCTTGATGTCGACTTATAAAATACTTTGGGGATTGAAAAAGTGGAAACAGAGGAAATGTTCACAATAAATACTAATACAACACAAGGGCATGAATGGAAGATTCAGACTCAGATGAGTTATATAGGTGTTAGAAAGTTTCCTTATTTAGCAAAAGCGAAGTGGGAAAATGGAATGAACAAAAGGAGCAGGTTGTAGAGGCCAACTCCATTCATAACTTTAAAAGTGGGTATTATAGGGAAATAGATAAGGAGTCACTATATTAGATAACTGGCAGCTAGATAAAGTGGGATTTAAAAGCTAGAGCTTTTAACAGGCTTAAATTGGTGAGTACAAATAGGTGAGTAAACAAATACTGTCTCCATCTGCACCCCTCCAGTGTCCACCAGTACTCTAACCACTTTTAATACGCTCAATATCCATTATTGTAACTAACAGTTTGAGTCCAGAATGGAAATCTGTAATTAGAACATAGGTTTAAAAAGTCAATATCTGAATTTATTATAATTTTAAATAATCCTAAAATCTATGTACCAAGGACATAACATTTTATATATACAGATTTCGTTAAGGGATGGTTTGGGACCGTGCCCCCTTGAGGGAGGCACTGGGATGACCCTGACCCTGTTATGACACTGAACAAAATTACGATTAATCCTACAAAGTTCAGTGAGATGAGCCCCATGCATCTGTCTGCCAACATCAAAGTGTCACCCTTCACCACCTTCCCTACCATTCATCACCTTCCCTACCATTCATCACCTTCCCTACCATTCACCACCTTCCCTACCATTCACCACCTTCCCTACCCTTCACCACCTTCCCTACCATTCACCACCTATACCTTTCATCACCTTCCCTACCATTCACCACCTATACCCTTCATCACCTTCCCTACCCTTCACCACCTTCCCTACCATTCACCTCTTTCCATACCCTTCATCACCTTCCCTACCATTCACCACCTTCCCTACCCTTCACCACCTTCCCTACCATTCACCTCTTTCCATACCATTCATCACCTTCCCTACCATTCACCACCTTCCGTACCCTTCACCACCTTCCCTACCATTCACCACCTTCCATACCCTTCATCACCTTCCCTACCATTCACCACCTTCCATACCCTTCACCACCTTCCCTATCATTCACCTCTTTCCATACCCTTCATCACCTTCCCTACCATTCACCACCTTCCATACCCTTCATCACCTTCCCTACCATTCACCACCTTCCATACCCTTCATCACCTTCCCTACCATTCACCACCTTCCATACCCTTCATCACCTTCCCTACCATTCACCACCTTCCATACCCTTCATCACCTTCCCTACCATTCACCACCTTCCCTACCATTCACCTCTTTCCATACCCTTCATCACCTTCCCTACCATTCACCACCTTCCATACCCTTCACCACCTTCCCTACCAATCACCACCTTCTCTACCATTCACCTCTTTCCATACCCTTCATCACCTTCCCTACCATTCATCACCTTCCATACCCTTCAATTTCTTCCTTACCCTTCACTACATTCACCACTGTCTTTGCTTTTCACAATTTTTTTTCATCACTATGACCATGCACCAAAAAAAAAAAAAAAAAATGGTGATGTATGTTTGTTGGAAGTACCCAGGATGCAGGTTCGAATCCTCCAAATGCCTCCTACTGATTTTTACACTGTAATCAACTTAAATACAATTTTTCTTCATGAATACCATCAGAAGAGGAAATAATGGAATGAAATAATGGATTCTCTGAGAATGAAAACTCAGTTAATATTTTTGAGATTGGATCTGGTGTTTGGTGTTGTGATGATGTCGACGACATCTGTTGAGCGCACCCGACCCCAAAATCTTTTAGGAGGGGAGGTGTGACGATGTCAACACCATTTGTTGAGAGCACTCTACTCCATTTGTTCCCCAGTGCATGGCTGTGATCTTACTGACACCTGTGTAGTTTCATTCTTACTAATCAACTTTTAAAAGCTCATATAAAATTATGTAATTTTCCCTCAGGTGATGACGACATAATATCGTTGTCTGTCGGTGCACTGAGTGCTGTGTTACGTACAGCGACTGACCATCCCTGCTTGTTGATCCTCCTCACAGATGGCTCTGCCTACTACAGCTCGGTCTTCAAGGTCTGCGTCCACACATTATCCTCAAATCAAATAACATTTCACTGAAAGCAATATTATTTTGATCCTGTTGCTAGATAACATTACACAGAACTGTTTATACCTTTGAACGTTGTGCTATAATTATGGTTCTCTTCTACATATTTCATCAGCTGATAAACCAGCTGAAGACGCCTTGCTTGTTTGGATTCTTCGAGGTATCAGCCGGCAGCCATGATGCAAACTTTCTTCAGAAGCAACTCTCAAAATTTGCCACAGAGGCACAACGGGTGTGTCACATAATTATCTGCTTCTGTGATTATTTATAGGATAAAATGTTTGTTTATAATAATGTTTAGTCAATGAAATCTCTCATTTCCTGTATGTTCTCAATTCATACGTCAGAAGAAGAGACGCCATAGGTCAGCTTAACATGGTTAATGTTCTTACACCATTGACTGGTTGGCTTTTACTTGTGTTATTATTTATGGGGTGTTGTCGTCCACAGCTGCGGCAGGTGTCGTGGTGCGTGACAGTGGTGGTGGTGAGCGACGACCTCGCCTTCCTCGCCACCTTCGCCAGGACGTCTAACAACAGCCGACTTTTAGTACCAGAAACGAGGCTCCTGGCGATCACCCGCCAGCCACTCGTACAGCTGGAGGTGGTTAAAGAGACATTCTCCCTCAAGAACGCCATGTTCCTGGTCGTGAACACCAGTTCCGGATCCCTCAGGTCACTTACTAACTCTTCTCCGTGGAATTTTAAGGCATCTGAATGATATTTAGAAATTAATAACATAATAAGTATTACAAAACATTTACAATTGTGACTGTACAGGTGCGGGGTGTACCTGCAGGTGCCGTACAGTCCCCTGGACGCCCAGGCGCTGCAGGTGGCCTCCTGGACGCCCCAGCGAGGCCTCGCTCTCACCTCCAGCCTCCCGCTCTTCCCAGACAAGTTCTCAAGGTGAGGAGTCCGTAACAGATAATAATATATAGTATGTCATATTATAGTTTGGTTGTCTGAATATCAAAGTGCTGGTAAAACTGTTATTACTCTTCTCATATATTTTTAATTACGTTATACATCAGTGATCTATAGTTTCACTAACATATTTTTGACTGACAATAATACTTGAAAATCCAGAGAGGAAATTATGTATCAAAGCTCACAAAGAAAAAACACATGTTTCATTCACCACCTGCCACCTCAAGGGACAGCTGCCTGACAAAGCCATCAAGTACTCACTTTGCCTCAGCTTTCCTACAAGTACCTCACTTTGCCTCAGCTTACCTACAAGTACCTCACTTTGCCTCAGCTTACCTACAAGTACCTCACATTGCCTCAGCTTACCTACAAGTACCTCACCTTGCCTCAGCTTACCTACAAGTACCTCACATTGCCTCAGCTTACCTACAAGAACCTCACCTTGCCTCAGCTTACCTACAAGTACCTCACTTTGCCTCAGCTTAGATACAAGTATCTCACATTTCCTCAGCTTACTTACAAGTACCTCACCTTGCCTCAGCTTACCTTCAAGTACCTCACCTTGCCTCAGCTTACCTACAAGTACCTCACCTTGCCTCAGCTTACCTACAAGCACCTCACAGTACCCTACCTATCCATGGTCCGATGGTCGACAAGCGTCACGAAGTACCTTACGCTGACCGATATGGCTGGCCATGTATTATAGTATTTTCTGAGCAGCCTCGTGGCAGGCCTGATGGTCAGACTTACGTAGCCTCATGGCAGGCCTGATGCTCAGAATACATAGCCTCGTGGCAGGCCTGATGCTCAGGCTTACGTAGCCTCGTGGCAGGCCTGATGCTCAGACATAAGCAGCCTCGTGGCAGGCCTGATGCTCAGACTTACGTAGCCTCGTGGCAGGTCTGATGGTCAGACTTACGTAGCCTCGTGGCAGGCCTGACGCTCAGACTTACGTAGCCTCGTGGCAGGCCTGATGCTCAGACATAAGCAGCCTCGTGGCAGGCCTGATGCTCAGACTTCCGTAGCCTCGTGGCAGGCCTGAACTCAGACTTACGTAGCCTCGTGGCAGGTCTGATGCTCAGACTTACGTAGCCTCGTGGCAGGCCTGATGCTTAGACATAAGCAGCCTCGTGGCAGGCCTGATGCTCAGACTTACATAGCCTCGTGGCAGGCCTGATGCTCATAATTACGTAGCCTCGTTGCAGGCCTGATGCTCAGACTTACGTAACTTCGTGGCACTCCTGATGCTCAGACTTACGTAACCTCGTGGCAGGCCTGATGCTCAGACTTACGTAGCCTCGTGGCAGGCCTGATGCTCAGACTTACGTAACTTCGTGGCAGGCCTGATGCTCAGACTTACGTAACTTCGTGGCAGGCCTGGTGTTCAGACTTACGTACCTTCTTGGCAGGCCTGATGCTCAGACTAACGTAGCCTCGTGGCAGGCCTGATGCTCAGACTTACGTAACTTCGTGGCAGGCCTGATGCTCAGACTTACGTAGCTTCGTGGCAGGCCTGATGCTCAGACTTACGCAGCCTCGTGGCAGGCCTGATGCTCAGACTCACGTAGCCTCGTGGCAGACCTGATGCTCAGACTTACGTAGCCTCGTGGCAGGCCTGATACTCAGACTTACGTAATTTCGTGGCAGGCCTGATGCTCAGACTTACGTAGCCTCGTGACAGGCCTGATGCTCAGGCTTACGTAGCCTCGTGGCAGGCCTGATGCTCAGACTTACGCAGCCTCGTGGCAGGCCTGATGCTCAGACTTACGTTGCCTCGTGGCAGGCCTGATGCTCAGGCTTACGTAGCCTCGTGGCAGGCCTGATGCTCAGACTTACGCAGCCTCGTGGCAGGCCTGATGCTCAGACTTACGTAGCCTCGTGGCAGGCCTGTTGCTCAGACTTATGTAGCCTCGTGGCAGGTCTGATGCTCAGACTTACGTAACTTCGTGGCAGGCCTGATGCTCAGACTTACGTAGCCTCGTGGCAGGCCTGATGCTCAGGCTTACGTAGCCTCGTGGCAGGCCTGATGCTCAGACTTACGCAGCCTCGTTGCAGGCCTGATGCTCAGACTTTTGTAGCTTCGTGGCAGGCCTGATGCTCAGACTTACGTAACTTCGTGGCAGGCCTGATGCTCAGGCTTACGTAGCCTCGTGGCAGGCCTGATGCTCAGACTTACGCAGTCTCGTGGCAGGCCTGATGCTCAGATTTACGTAACTTCGTGGCAGGCCTTGTAACAGGAACCTCTGCTCTTTTCAGAAAATCAGAACGAAAAGAAAAAAAATATGCTAGAATCCCTAATATGTAAAATCTCTCCTCCCCACTCCCATCCCTTCTCGCTTTCTCACCCAGTCTCGGCCTTCTCTCGTCTCTCTTCTTCTATCCACCTGGTGCTATACTCTTCTCCCGCCTTGCACAGTACTGACACCACTTCTCGAACGATCGCCTACAAGAATTTGTCAGTCCTGGAGCTCATGGTAGCTGATGGACTGATAAGCCACCGGCGACAATCATGGGATCTCACTTCTCAGCTAGGAAATAAATATAACATAAATCAAACGAATTACTGGCAAAATACATCAAGCATATAAATGTAAATAAAGTACCTAATAATATATATATAGTATGTTATATACAGTAATGCAGAGAATTTAAGAATAGATACATATAATCATATGTTTAAGAGATATTAGGCTAGGCTACACTGTCTTTTTATACTAAGGTATGATCACCTCATACACCATTCATACTTGGTGTATTTGAGGTCATAACATCCAGTACTATAACCACTCAGCCACAAACTGTACAAAAGTATTGGGTAGTTTTCTGACCTTTAACCCCAATTCTCGACAGAGGCTCGTGATTTTTTTGGGCATAGATATTTAATTAAATCAATTCAACATACTAGGGCCGCATGAGTATCAATTTGTGAGTCGAGCTTGAATGGTTCCGAGTTTAAAGTACGAGCCGTCGGGTATTGGGGGTAAAAGTCTTTACTTAGATTAAGGGACGAGGCTGGAGAACCCTTTAATCTTTGACAGGATCGACTGTTTTGTGCGAGTATGAGCAAATATGGATAGCAGGAAATTTCTGATAATTTTCTCGAGATCCATGATTAATGGTGTACCTGGATGGGGTTCTAGGTGTTCAACTCCCCAAGCCCGACCCGGGACCAGGCTTGACTTGTGAAAGCTTGTTACAACAGGCTGTTCCTTGGAGCGACCCAATGGCCCACGTATCCACCACAGCCCGGTTGGTCTGGCACTTTTTGAAGAAAACTATCCAGTTTTCTCTTGAAGGGAACTGTCAAGGAAAAGCGCCAAGCCGTTACGACTTTATAGCCCTGGGAAGGGGTCAGGATAATGATTTGGGATGGGACGTGGGGGACGGAATGGTGCCCAACCACTTGGACGGTCGGGGATTGAACGCCGACCAGCATGAAGCGAGACCGTCTCTTAACCGTCCACCCCAAGTGGCTGGGCTTTAACTCTTGAAGACGTCCACGTTTGTTCCAGCAATGCTTCTGTGATTTGAATAGTACAACCATTGTGAAGGTATCACTGGATTAGTGTATATATCTATATGAATAAAAATGTTTCTATTAGTTTGTTTTGAAAGTAATTAGCTCTGTAGCCGGTGGTCAAGGCCAAACATGATCGTGGGGGTGTGAATGTGACCCTGGCACACTGTTCTCTTTGGAATTCTGGCAACCCCGACCAGCCTATGTTCATCCCGAACCCCACGCCATAATCTATGTCAATATGGGTGAAGCAAGGCCCAAGTATCACTTGAGTTGCACCACATCTCTACCTCTACATACCACAATACACGACATGATGCATCATTTCAAATTACGTAACATACTTACATTTTGTAACTATGACCAAAGACGGTTTGAACTAGCTATAATTGGTACCTTTCGTCGCCACCTCATTGAGTAATATTTGGTTCTGTCGTCAACTAATGGTAGCATTTGCCGGGTTAATTGGTCTTTTTTCAAGTCCAGAAGACCTGGCCAAACCTTTCATGATGTGGATAGTTATGAAGGTTATCGCGTCCTAGCGAGTGTTTTCGCACATCATTTGTTATCCCAACCGAAGGGTTAACGAAAGAGTTCAGGTCCAAGCAAAGTGACACGTAGAATTTCATGAAGTAATACATTATCTTCACTTCACTGACAGGTTCCTCCATAGGCCCAACTTGAGAGTGGTGTCTGTGGAGTCCACCTCGCACAGACTTGTCCTAGTGGACGATCCAGAGGTTCCTGGGAAGAAGAGAATTACCTTCGAGGGAATCATGGCCAATGTTAACGACTATCTTGCCAAAGCTCTCAATTTTACGTAAGTTCAAAATTCTTTATAGTAATTTTTATATATTTTTTTTGGGGTGTTACACGAAATGTATTATTTGTTAAAAACCGATTCATCAGCATTTTCTTACATTTCCTCTCTTAAACGGTTTACATTTACTCTTTCATGCCAAGAATCCAAAGTGAATGGGTTTTGAGCCTAACCTCGCACTGTAAACCTCTCCTGCAGAGTTGTGTTCAACCATATTGATGTTGTGGGAATACTCACAAACATATCCTCATGTTATGGATGCCAAAGTAAAGCTTGTAGTTTTGTAATATCATATGTCATTTATCTATTGGGAGCAAAATATGGATACAGCGCAAGGATTTCAGGTATTTTATCCTTGGTAATAAAATAGGTTGCCAAATCATTCAGCGTGAGCTTAGATTTATCTCTAAATGGCTCAATTTTACTACAATCCAAGATATAGTGTTCGAGTGTGTGTCCCTGTCTTTGTCCATACACTTTACACTTTACTTCATCTAGATTCCTATACAAGCCGAACTGCCAGAGATACTTGTTGCCAAGTCTTATTCGAGCTGTGACAACATCTGTTAGTCTACTGACTTTGTTACTTGCCCCATACACATGTTTTACTTCACACATTTCATTGTGATAAACAATGGACCTGCTAGTTCCAGTTTGCACTGTTCTACTTTCTTCAAATCCATCCAAGGGTTCACGTCTAATGACACTTTTAAAGGACCTATTTGATAACTCAAGATTCCGTTCAATACTGTCTTTATTTACTGCAGCCTTAGCAAGGGCGTCAACTTTATCATGTTCCTGCAGAATTCAGTATTGTGAAAACTAAAATTGTGTAATATCTCCATTGCTCAAACAATTATGTATTAGCGATAAGACCTACCAGTAATGTATAATAACTTACTGTAAATATACAGCTCTTGAAATAGACTAATAGAGCATTCTCTGTAAGTAGCCGACATGTAACTATAAGGTGTGAAGGATAGATGAAATTGTTTATGTAATAGTCTAAGACGAAGTCTGATAAAGACCTTTTGTGCCCTCAGTAATGCTTTTGTGCTACCGCTCACTGAATAAGTATAGGGTGCACAATAAACTAGCCGCCTCCGGCGGCAACAAAAAAAAAAAAGATCGTAGTTACTCGTCAAAACATTACTCATTATCGCTGGAGCAGATTAACAGTATGCATCAATATGAGTCACACATACGAGCAACGAAGACAAGCACTACCCGGATCACTATTTCCACGGCAGGAATAGTGTGGTCCACAAGAAGTGGGGAAGTTATTTACAGGGAATTAACTGGATGAAAAAACTCTGTTTATGCTCTAGGCGCACAAACTTGTAATACTCACTTCTTATTGTTGTAATAAAAATAAATTTACTTTTTTAGTTTCATTACAAACAGAACTGAAAAAATAGAGTATATTAGTGCAGGTCCAAATATATTTACATAAAGTTTCAGGTAAAATTTTGTGTACTCCCACAACACAAAAAATATATATCATACAGTATCTTCATATATTTAACTCAAAACATGCTCTCCTACAATTTTTATTACTCATTTTGATAAATTAAATACCATAACTTTGACTTCCACCATATGTTTTCCATCAGATGATTATTAAATTATACGGAATTCTCTTTTTTTAAATGTATTTCAATTATATTTATAACAAAAACTCTAGAAACATATTTTTCAACAAATTCATAATTCACTCACTCTCTCTGTCTCTGTCACTGTTTATGTTTGGCTATGTCTCTGTCTATGTCACGGTCACTGTCACTGTCTATGTCACTGTCACTGTCTATGTCACGGTCACTGTCACTGTCTATGTCACTGTCACTGTCTATGTCACGGTCACTGTTTATGTCACGGTCACTGTCACTGTCTCTGTCTATGACTCTGGCTATCTGTGTCTATGTCTGTTTCTGTCTTGCTCTCTTTTCTCACTCTCTCTCCGTTTCTTAGTTTCTTTCTCTCTCTCTCTCTCTCTCTCTCTCTCTCTCTCTCTCTCTCTCTCTCTGCCTCTTCACCTCCTTGTCTCCCGCTACCTCACTTCATCTCTCTCATTCCCTATGTCCCTCTCCCACGCATGAATCCTCTAAGACATTGTCTCCGCATCCATTCCTTCCTCCCATTCTTTCTCCCCTTTTCCCTCAATTCACTTCTTTTTCTCTCTTCTGCACCCTGTTCTCTCTCTAGCGCCAGAGCTGCTTGGCAGGAACGCTGCCCGCTCTCAGTAGCCTCGTAGGGAAGAACGTGATAGGTCGTGTCGCATGTTGGTCCCACATAGGTGAGGTTTAAACCACCAGAAGGGACATTTATTCTAAGCAGTACTAGAGAGGCAACGTAGAGGAGATACTAGTCAACTTCTAGATGAAGATTCAGAGAGCTCGATCGTGACAGTTGGGCACAAGAAGCTCCGTGACTGAGGAGGCTGTACCCGGCGGACCAAGAGTCTATATGCGGACTGTACAAGGTTGGACCTGCTAGGAGCGTGAGGTGGCAAGTCCTGGTGTAATGTCTCAGCAGTATAGCAACCCTGGGAGAAGCAGATCGTCGACCAGTTGTGAGAAAGAGATCTACTGGGGTTTTACTGAAGAGGAGGAGAAGAAAGGGAACGCTGCACGAAACACACAAAGTCCCCAGAGGGAGCATCTACCAACTGCAACAGGCTGCTTGGACTAAAACCTCTGTTCTATAATAATATGGCAGAATAAATCATTCTTCCATTTTCCTTCCCCATTCCGCCATTTTTGATAGGAAGCGAACATTATTTTATGTTTGGAGAGTGATATACTATGGAGAGAGGGAGCAAGTATTAAAGACAGTATAGAATAAGTATAAATTTGTGTTACATCATATTTAATTAGACTTCATTAAATCTCGAGTAATGACGAAGGTAATTATTATATAAGTGGACCATACAGTAATACGTCTTTGCTGGAAAACGATTAGTAAATCAAAGCCTAATGAGTTCTAATATCAATATTGAAAGGTACTGGTATTCAATTTCAATGCAGAAGTGCTGCTACATAAGGCAGTTAAGATATTTTCGGCCTTAAGCAAATATACTAATATTTTCCGTAAATTGTTTATTCTTTTGCATTGTGTTTCGCTTCACTTCTTGCCTCACCCTCAGTAATGTTTGCCTTGGTCTGGTGTGGGAACACTGAACATAATTAAGATAACACCAGGTGGGGACAAAATTTCCGCTGTATTAATAGAAATTTTCCGGCCTGAATGAAGCATCAGCCAGATTATCGACCAAGGATATCAACTTTTGTGGCGAGCAAATCGGCAGCAAGGAGTCCGGGTCTGTGTCCACGATACATTGATTGGAGACCCGGGAGCTGCTACCTCTCTTGCTACGGCATTGCTAGGCTGAGTGTGGGACACTTTCCCTGTGAGTTACTGACGGTCTTCCATTGGGTGAAGAGTGGCACTGGTGGGAGGGGGGGGGAAGACCCCAGGGTTCTGTCACAATATCCACCACTGACTTGTAATATCCATCTTTCTGAAGATTTATTGATAAATATGAATTTACTTTCATATATATATATATATATATATATATATATATATATATATATATATATATATATATATATATATATATACATATATATATATATATATATAATATATATATATATACATATATATATATATATATATAAGCCTATACTTGCATAAACCACAAGTGAAGATAAACAATCTTTGGACAACACCCACCAGTGGGACTCGAACCCAGAAAGCACAACTACCTTCCAGTAGCTGGCATAACTAGTATGCTTTAACCCACTACGCCATCAGACCTTACAAAAGAAGTAGATAGTTCGAGATATATATATCTCAAACATCTCTACCTCCCGAAGGCACCAGATGAGTGAGGGGTCAGTCTGCAATTTTCGTCAAGCCACTGTCAATGTGAGAGAACTCGTGTCCAGCTTATAAGCCTATACTTGCATAAACCACAAGTGAAGATAAACAATCTTTGGACAACACCCACCAGTGGGACTCGAACCCAGAAAGCACAACTACCTTCCAGTAGCTGGCATAACTAGTATGCTTTAACCCACTACGCCATCAGACCTTACAAAAGAAGTAGATAGTTCGAGATATATATATCTCAAACATCTCTACCTCCCGAAGGCACCAGATGAGTGAGGGGTCAGTCTGCAATTTTCGTCAAGCCACTGTCAATGTGAGAGAACTCGTGTCCAGCTTATAAGCCTATACTTGCATAAACCACAAGTGAAGATAAACAATCTTTGGACAACACCCACCAGTGGGACTCGAACCCAGAAAGCACAACTACCTTCCAGTAGCTGGCATAACTAGTATGCTTTAACCCACTACGCCATCAGACCTTACAAAAGAAGTAGATAGTTCGAGATATATATATCTCAAACATCTCTACCTCCCGAAGGCACCAGATGAGTGAGGGGTCAGTCTGCAATTTTCGTCAAGCCACTGTCAATGTGAGAGAACTCGTGTCCAGCTTATAAGCCTATACTTGCATAAACCACAAGTGAAGATAAACAAACTTTGGACAACACCCACCAGTGGGACTCGAACCCAGAAAGCACAACTACCTTCCAGTAGCTGGCATAACTAGTATGCTTTAACCCACTACGCCATCAGACCTTACAAAAGAAGTAGATAGTTCGAGATATATATATCTCAAACATCTCTACCTCCCGAAGGCACCAGATGAGTGAGGGGTCAGTCTGCAATTTTCGTCAAGCCACTGTCAATGTGAGAGAACTCGTGTCCAGCTTATAAGCCTATACTTGCATAAACCACAAGTGAAGATAAACAATCTTTGGACAACACCCACCAGTGGGACTCGAACCCAGAAAGCACAACTACCTTCCAGTAGCTGGCATAACTAGTATGCTTTAACCCACTACGCCATCAGACCTTACAAAAGAAGTAGATAGTTCGAGATATATATATCTCAAACATCTCTACCTCCCGAAGGCACCAGATGAGTG